TGGCACAGGGTTTGCTCATGGCTGCATCTGCACAGCAGTAGCGGTAGGCACCGCAGCCTAGTATTGTAGGACCGGGATCTGAGTCCCAGCCACTCACTGGCTGTGTGATCTTGAGCAAGCCACTTCCCTTATATAAGCCGCATCTTTACTTACATGTAGTAGGTGCCCAATAAATGTTGCTGCCTGGGCTACAGGTAAAGAAATTGCCTGGGCTCACACAGTGGCTTGAACCCTGGCAGACTGACTCATGCCCAGCCTGCACTCGGTCAGTACAGGATTTGGGACAAAGATTTTGGGACATGAATGTTGCTCGCTGCCTGCCTCTCTGACTGACTGCACCAGCGGGCTCTCTCACCGCCCCCCCACGAACACCTTCCCCATCCCTGAGGACGTGGCTGTCTCTCTCACCGTGGGGCATCTCGGCTCCCTGCGCTGGCTGGCACAGTGCCCCAGACACCAGGCGGTGGCCCCAGATCACCCCTTCTTTGGTCCAGCTGGGGGTGAGGGAGAGGGGTTTCTCTGAAATAACCTAGTGCCCTGGGGGCGTAGGGATGGGGAGGGCAGGCTCCAGGCTGCTGTGGGGGCTGGGTAGAAGAGGGACGGAGCAGAAGGTGCACCCCGCTCCTCAGCCTCGGCCCCTCCCTGCTGCCTGCAGGGGGAGACAGCTTCCCTCTCCGGTGGCGGGGAAGCGGTCAGACTGCTGAGCCGCCACCACTCCAGCGCACCACCAGAGGGCGCCCCGAGACAGCGCTGGGCCCCGTGTCTGTTGGGCCCCCTGGGGCCTCGGGCGCCACCGCGGCCGACCGCCATGATATTCTGCTGTTGTTGAGTGGAGCGCTCTGTCATGTCACTTAGTGCACGTTGGTTGACAGTGTTCTTCAAATCTTCCATATCCTTACTGATTTGCTGTCTGTTGGGTCCATCAGTTATTGAGAGGGTGTTGACAGCGATGCCAGGGCCTGGGCGCTCGCTCCCGCAAGTCAGCTGGGGCCATTGCAGGGCTCATCGCATTTTCTTATTTCGTGGTCCAGTCTTGGGTTCCGGAGGGATGGGTGTTAAACCTGGTCCCTGTTCCTCTCTCTTGACCAGAGCAATTATTGTTTTCGTAGTTTTTAAATTAATTACATTTATTTTTTAAGAGATGGGGTCTTGTTCTGCCACCCAGGCTGGAGTGCAGTGAGCCATCATAGCTCACTGGAGCCTGGAACTCCTGGCCTCAAGTGATCCCCTGCCCCAGCCTCCCAAAGCACTGGGATCACAGGCGTGAGCCACTGCACCTGGCCTGCTTTTTATTTTGAAATAATGTTAGATTTATAGAAGAGGTGCAAAGACAATACAGAGAGTTCCTCCAGACATGTCTCCTTAGTCTTCTCCAACCTGAGACAGCTTCTTGACCCTTCCTTGTCTTTTATGACCTAGGCACTTTTGAAGAGTGCTGGTCATATACTGTACAGAAAGGGTCTTCTCATTGATTAGGCTAAAGTTATGGATTTGGGGGAAGTGCCCTTCTCATCACATCGCTTCAGAGGGTCTGATACCAACAAGGCTTGTTACTGCTGGTGATAACTTCCATCATTTGGTTAAGATGGTGTCTGCCAGATTTTTTCACTATGAAGTCACTATTTTTGCCTTGCCACATTCTACTTGTTAGAAGTAAGTTGCTAAGTCCAGACCATATGCAAGGGGAGAAGACTTAAGCTCCGTTTCCTACAGGCTAGAGCACCAAAGAACTTGTGCATGTATGTTAAAACCATCACAGAGATTAATGCATATTTAGGCGGGAGACACTTTGAGACTACACAAATATCCTGTTTCATCTTAAAGTTTCAGCCATTCATTTTATTGTTCATTGGTGGCTTTCCTTCCCACCCCAGTCCCCAGCCACTCATGTCCCCTCCCTGATGGCAGCCAAACAAGGTCCAAAAGTATTTTTTTTACACAAATGTAGAAAAGTAGTCATAGTATTCTGCACCTTGTACCTTTTCACCTAACGATATAACTTGGGGATCAGTCCGGATTGGAACATAAAGAGCCTTCTCATTCTTTACATAGCGTCCAGTGTAGGATTGTGCCATGCTTTATTAAGTAGCTCCTGGCCAATGAGCACTTAAGGTTGTTTCCAAATGCTTTCTCTTACAAACTATGCTGTAGTGTTCGACATGTAGAATTTAACCTATAGGTACAGAAGAGGGAGGAATCAAAGGGCATGTGTAGTTTCCATTTTGATATTGCCTCTCCTGTAGGCTGCAAGAATTTATACCCTGTGTTAGTTTCCTATGGCTGCTGTGACAGAGTACCACAACCTAGGTGACTTCAAACAATAGCAATTTATTCTTTCACAGCTCTGGAGGTTAGAAGTCTAAATTTCTCTAGAAAAAAAAATCTGTTAATACTGTGTTCATGTTTCTATATGGCAACAAACACCTGAGTACACTTGTATGCATTTCACGTTGTGTCTCCAGCTCTGGCCTTCAAACTAAGGGGCACCGTAGTGTCGAGACCAGGGCTATGGCCTCTGGAGCCTGACTACCTGCGTATGAGTCCCAGCCCTGCCACTTACTAGCTGTGGCATCCTTGGGCAAGCTGTTTAAATGGTGCTAAGCCTCAGTGTTCTTATCTGTAAAACTAAGATGGATTTACTCAACAAATTTTTATTTGCCGGGAACTGTTCTAGGCGCTTGGGATATATCAGTAAACAAAGCAAATCAAGATCCTTTCTCTTGTGGAGCTTATACGTGGCAGGGGTAGACAGGTAATAAACAGTGATGTAACAAGTAGGTAAGTTACACAGTATATTGCAAGGTGATAAATCCCGTGGGAAAGCAAAGAAACAAAACCCAGCGTGCACAGGGAACGGGGAAATGGGTGCATGGCTGCATCTGAAGTAGACTGCTCAGGTAAGGCCTGGGCAGCTGATGCTTGAGCAAAGGCTTGAAGAAGCAAGATAAGTGACCGCATCCTGGCTGGGCAGGAACACACCAGCAGAGGGGACAGTGAGGCAAAGGCCTGAGTCAGGAGCCTGGCTTGATGTTGGAGGAACCACTGGAGACCGCTCTGGCTGGAGAGAAGACAGGAACAGGGAGAGTGGTGGGAGCTGAGGTTACAGAGGAAGGGGGTGTCAGCAAATTGTGTAGGGCCTTGTCGGCCACGGGGAGAGTCAGGTGGGAGCCGTGGGAGGGTTCTGAGCAGAGAAGGAACGTGACCTAACTTAGGTTCTAGCAGGTCTGTCTGGCTGCTCTATAGGGATTAGACTTGGGGAGTTGGGGGGTGCAAAAGTCAGAAGCCAGGAGACCAGGGTGAAGCTGGTGCAATAATCCAAATAGGAGGTGACGGTGGGTGGCTCAGACCAGGGAGCTAGCCGGCATGCCAGAGGTGGGTGGCCACAGGCTGTGTTTCCAAGGCTGCGTAGACAGGCCTGGCTGATGGGTTAGACTCAGGGTGTGAGGAAAGGGAGGGGTTGAGGATGACTGCGCTGTTTTGGCTGGAGCAGCCAGCAGGATGAGGCTGCCACTGTAAGATAGCAGGGCCCAGGCATCACAGCAGGGCGGGTGTGGGAAGGGAGGGGGAAGACGGAGAACAGGTTAGGAGAGTCCAGTTGACATTCAGCAGCCAGGTGAATGCAGATGGAAATGCAAGGCTGGAATTTAGGAGCCAGGTGTGAGAATAACAGTCCGCACTTCATAGGCTGTCTTCAGTGTTCAAGGCACTGAGAACGGGGCCTGGCCCTACTAAGTGCCAAGAGGGCCCTGGAACAGATTCCACCTTTGACTCCAGCCCCTCTGCCACACCTGGCCTCACATTACTCTCAGGGATGGGGCAGCAGGTTCTCAGTGGCCGAGGGATCTCCTTCCCACCCAGGGACAGGAGTGCCACACTGTCAGACAATGACTGACCTGGCTAGCCCTGAACCCCATGCCAGGGAAGGCTTAGGCCAAGGACCTCACCTCTCTGGCCAATAGCTACTGCATCTGGGATACGAAGACAATGATCTGTCTCTCGAAGGGCTATCCGCAGGAGCAAATGAGAACTAGTGGATTTAAGTGCCCAGCACACAGTAGGTGCTCATAAGAGTCTGTTTTTTTCTTCCCACCCCACGCCCTGGTGTCAGGGAGAAAGGAAGCAAAGTCAACATCCATCCCAGCTGTTTATTGAAGGGAAGGTGGGATGGCGGGTGCAGGGTGGGGAGGGCGCGTGGGGCACAAGGACGGAGAGCCTGGCCTGGTGAGGGAGGACCGAGGACCCTCCCCCACGCCCTCCAGGCTGGAGGAGACCTGGGGGAAAGGCGAGGCGGGAGCCCTGAGGCTTGTCTCCAGCTGCCTTGGAGCTCCCCCTACTGGTACCGAGAAGAGATGACGCCTCTGGCTGGGGAGCCTGTAGGAGGGAGGGGCTGGTGCCCCGGGAGACGGCACAGTTGTCATCAGGGTCAGGGTCAGGATCAGGCCTGTCCCTGTCGGTTTCTAAGTGGGTGGACGTTGAAGGGCAAAAACATCCCACTTCTCCTGCCCTCTGGCTCTTAGAGACCATTTCAGTCCACGTCCAAAGTATCTCTGCAGCCACCTGGGGCCACCAGGCCACCAGCTACTCTCTCTGGGCCAAACCTGTCTTCCGCCACGGAAACCAAGACGTGCGGGGTTCTGCTCCAGCTGCAGAACTGGAACTGGCCCAGGAGGAGCTGACCTCGTGGGTTCCAGCCTTGCTGTGTGGGCTGGGACATATCCCTCCCTGCCTCCCTCACCCCTGTAGGCTGGGGCTAGTAACCGCCCTTGGTGGTGGGCTGTGGGGCTCTGATGCCAAAATGCCAAAACCCAGGGAGGAAGCACACCGTGAGGGGCCACATTCTCACACCGTCCTGGAGGGGCAGCTTCGTGAGGTGACCTGGGAGAATGACCCCCCACCCATGTCTGAGGAGGGTGGTGTGTATATCCCAGGGGAATAGGAGCATCACACAACTCCAGGATCTGGTCCAAACCCCTCGTAGCAGACAGGCAGGACCTGATGGTCACACAGAGGAAGAGTGGGGATGGGTGGAGGAAGGTGTCTCCTGCCCCTGAAGAGCCTTGGGAAGGAGGGGTGGGTGGGGAGGCTGGGGGGACCTGAGGAAGGTTGACATTTTGGATACACTGGGCCCTCCCCCTGTGGAAGCGGCCCAGGGATCTGAACTCCACACTTGACCTGCAGAGGGGCCTTCTGGGGGACTTGGATGAAAGGGCCCTGCTGGAGGGAGAAGGTGGGGAGACAATGGGAGGGCGGGGCGTGGTGGGGAGGAGGAAGGGTCCAGACCCCAGGTCCGGCTCCTCCTACGGCCTCATGGGCAGCTCAAGAGTCCCGCTTGGGCTGGATGGTCTGCACAGAAGACTGCCCAAAGGGGCCGGCGGGGGGCGAGAACCATGACTGGCCACCGGCATCGCAGAAGATGGGGGACAGCTGCTGCTCTGGTTCGTCCCCGAAGACCTCCATGTGGCCATCACCTTCGGTGTCCAAGGGCTCTGCCTTGGTGTCCTGGCTCAGCCAGCCCGTCATGGCCCAGAAGAGGCAGATGGCCAGCAGGACCCCGGCCGCTGCGCAGAGTGCTGTGCCTGCCAGGCGGCAGGTGCCCAGGGCCTGGTTGTAGTCGGCTGCTCGCTGATCCAGCACCAGGAACTCACCCTCACCGATGCCCTCCAGCTTGGGGGGTACTGCATAGCCGGTGGTCAGAGCCGCCACACCCAGCAGCAGAAGCAGGGTCCCCGAGGACAGGCTGATCTGGGGAGAGGCAGACAGACAGAGGCAGTTGGGGTCAGACAGGGGCCTTGGATCCCAACTGCACTTAAAGGGAACCCCTTGATCCAACCTGGAGAGACAGAAATCATAGAACATCCTGCTGGGGTCTAACTGCCAGGGGACATAAATTGTCATGTTCTATTTGGAATCATTTTTGTATTTTCTTTTTTTCTTGAGATGGTCTCACGGTGTTGCCCACGTGGTCTTGAACGCCTGGGCTCAGCCTCCTGAGTAGCTGGGACTATAGGTGCACACAACTACACCCAGTTCTATTTGGAATCTGGAGGTCTCTTGGTTAATTTCCTTCCTAGCTCCCTCTTAACAGTGGGTTTCTCTGGCCAACCTTGAGGCCCCTCCATCATTATTGGGTACCCCCTTGTCCTTTCTATCCTCTATTTCTCTACTCTCATGCATTGCCAGATCTCATTCTAACCTCACCTCCTCAGGAAGGAGAGCCCTGGCCTGGGTCAGGTCCCCTGCTCTGCACTCTGTGCAAACTTCATGCCCATTCATTCTTCAGTTCACTCACCTTAGTGCACACTGGGACTTGTATTTGGGTTACCATTTAAGTCATGTCTGCCTGTCCCCCAGGACTGAGAGCCCTGTGAGAGCAGAGACTGGGCCTGTTTTTGCTTACTAGGTGTCTTCTGTGCCTGGCACAGTACTGGCACAGAACAGAGGCTGAATAAATGTTTGCTGAATGACTAAGTGAACCACAGCTAGGAGTTCCTTAAGGACAGGGACCATGTCTTCTTAAATTTTGTGTCCCCAAAGCCTGGCATAGTGCCTGGCAATAAGATGCTTAAAATTTATTTATTTTTTTAGATACGGGGTCTCTGTCTGTCACCTTGGCTGGAGTGTAATGGTGTGATCATAGTTCATTGCAGCCTCAAACCCCTGGGCTCAAGTGATCCTCCTGCCTCAGCCTCCTGAGTAGCTGGAACTACAAGTGCTCATCACCACACCTGGCTATGTTTTTATCATTATTATTTGCTGTTGTTATTGTTGTTGAGACAAAGTCTCACTCTATTGCCTGGGCTAGAGTGCCGTGGTGTCAGCCTAGCTCACAGCAACTCCAAACTCCTGGGCTAAAGTGATCCTCTTGCTTCAGCCTCCCAAGTAGTCGCGACTACAGGCATGAACCACCACACCTGGCTAATTTTTCTATTTTTAGTAAAGAGGGATCTCAATCTTCCTCAGGCTGGTCTCTGACTCCTGACCTCAAGTGATCCTTCCGCCTTGGCATGTCAGAGTGCTAGGATTACAGGTTTGAGCCACCTTGCCTGGCCTATTATTATCATTTTTTAAGATGGGGTCTTGCTACATTGCCCAGGCTGGTCTTGAACTCCTGGCCTCAAGCAATTGTCCTGCCTCAGCCTCCTGAGTTGCTGGAATTAAGGGCATAAACTCTACACCCAGATCCTGCTTAGAAATTTTAAATATGTACTCAGCTTCTCCTGAAAGTTTTCCCTGGTCACCCCAGGCACTGAGACTGTTGCTTCTCCTGGCATCCTCTGCACACCTGACCTGAGGTTGTACAGGTTGGTGCCTCACCTCCCCACTAGAGTGAAGTCTGAAAGCAGGAGGGACCCTTGGCATCAGTCTCCCGACAGTATTTAGCAAAGAGCAATGCTCATCGCAGGGACTCAGCTCGTTGTCACCTCCACACCTTTACCCATGTGGTGCACCCTGGCTGACCACTCTCCCTGGCTGTTATGGACTTCGATTGGGTTTCTCTCACATCTTTCCACTGCCCTGGCAATGGTAGGCCATTGAAAAACCAGAGTAAGATTTAAGTGAGATGAACCCGACTTCTGCCAGTCAGTAGATCCCATCTCCTGGCCAAAATTAGTAATCAGTTCAGGGCTGGCCAGTGACCCAATCAGAGCCTATGCAATGCTTGTCAGGACTTCTAGGAATGAAAGCATTGTTTCTCGTAAATGGCAATGTATTTTTAATTTCTGGTTCTCCTGGATCTTTTGCCTGTCTGTATAAACTGGAGAATTGGCTTGTTGATGTCCACAAACTAACGTACTAGGATTTTGATAGGGATTGTATTGAATCTATAGCTTAGGTTGGGAAGAACTAACATCTTGACCATAGTGAGTATTCCTGCCCATGAACATGGACTATCTCTCCATTTATTTAGTTCTCTGATATCTTTCATTAGAGTTTCGTAGTTTTCCTCATATTGTACATATTTTGTTAGGTTTACACCTAAGTATTTTTTCTTTTGGAGGGGATAATATCAGTGGTAATGTGCTTTTAATTTTTGGCTACTCTGCATTATTTCTTTTCTGAAGAAAATACTGGAGGAAACTTCCCTTGGATGGTGTAGAGTGAAGGTCTGAGAATCGGCACTGCAGCAGCTACTTGGGGAACACCTGGGGCAAGTCTGAAGCCAACAGGCTGGAAGGGAAGGGTAGCAGGGGGACTCTGAAGACTAAGAGAAATCTTGCAAAATCCTCAGTGTCTGTAATGGCTTGAACTGCTGGAGCAAACTTGGCTTGAAGGCACTAAACCTCTGGTCTCTTCTTAAAAATCAGAAATATTTTCCCTTTATTGTTTAAACCCATTTGAATTGGGTTTTCTATTGCATGAACTTGCAAGACTCCTAACTACTACACCACCCCTTTTCCTTCTCCCCTCTGAGCCTTCAATGCAGTCCCATCTCCTTCACGGAGCCACAGAAAGCAGAGGACTTGCCCCTCTGCCTTACCTTCCAGCACAGGGAGGGCCAGGGCTGGCGGGGGCACAGGACCGGGGGTCCCTCGGGGTCATCACTGAGAGCAGTGCCTGCACAGTCCTCATAGAAGAGATGCAGATAGGAGCGGACCCCATACCACTTGCCATCCTCCACGTTGGGGCCACGGCCACAGTGGCAGGAGCGAACGCAGCTCGGCATCATGGATTCCTGTGGGGCAAGTGCAGCTGACAGAGGGAGAGGTCAGTGAGAGCTGCCATGGTGACCCTCCCAACCCCCCAAATATTTGTGCCCCACTTGCTTTTCCTTCCACCCTAGACATGCTGGCCTTCTGGAATCCTAGCCCGTCTTTCCTTAAGTACACTGTGAATGAATGAGTCAACGTACCAAAGTGCTTAGCCCAGTCCCTGGGGATCGTAGGTGACAGTAAATGTGCATGTTTACCCTGGAGGCCACCCAGTGGCTGGAACTGTGTGCTCTGGAGCCTGACCACTTGGTTTGGAATCCAAGAGCAGCTACTTCCTGGATGTGTGACCTCAGACAAGTGCTTTCACCTCTCTGAGCCTCAGTTTCCCCATCTGTAAAACAGGGCTAATAACCATACCTATTTCACACAGTTCTTGTGTCTGGTGCTGAGAAATGGTAGATGTTGTGATTATTACTGTAATTTCTTTGTAATTATTTTCATCCTAAAATTTTGGGGCTCCATGTCTGGAGTGAGAGATCCTCTTCCCAGAAGCTTACTCCCCTTCAGGGCCCCTCCTGGGGGTAATTGTCATGGCCGACACTTGTCCAATCAGGCTGGAGTCTGCAAGCTGCAAGGCCCTAAAAGGTCCATCCCCAGGGCTGCCCGTTATCAGCCTCTAAACTCCAAGGAATTTTGACTCCTTAGGAGGTGAAAGTCAGGGTCCCTCAGGATTAGGGGCTCTTAGACTTAAGGGCTTTTGGATTCGCAGAGAAACCTATTTAAGAAACTTCTTTTCACAAAAGGGGACATCAAGGCTTTGGGAATGGAAGGTACCCGTGTATCCATACACAGGTATGGGTAAAACCAAAGCCAGGAGCTGCAGGAGAAGGATGGGGCTTCTGCGCCACACCCCCCACGATGGCCCTCTCCCTTCTGAGCAGCTTCAAACAAAAGAGAACAATATGCCGCTTCCGGAGGGTAAGGCACCAAGCAGACGGGCCCTCCGATCCCTAGGGAGCTCGGGTGGTGAGTGTGAATGGGGGCCGAGAATCGGGGCCTCAGTGCAGAGACCCTTAAAGACCTCAGGCGAGAGGACGGGGAGGGAGCTCAGGGGCTGTTGGCCCGGGTCAGCTCCTCCTCTCCCATTCACGGCTCCTCCTCCCTCACAATACAGAATCACTCGATCCTGCGGGCTCTGGAGAAGGAAGGTGACCTTGACGGTGCCTCCCCCTAGGCCGAGCTCCTCCCCTCCCATTTTAGGGTTGCAGGCAGGAGGTCTAGCCGGCGCTAGGCGGGGCGCGACGGGGAGGAAGGGAAAGGGTGCTGAGGACAGGGAGCAGATACCCGGTACCAGGGTTGCCATAGGAACCACTAGGGAGGTGTCTCTAGCCGGGAGAGGGGAGGGGCTTGGCGAGAAGGGAACAGGAAGAGGAGGGGGCTGCGCTGTCCAAGGGGGCTTACTGCGGCGGAGAAGCAGAGGAGGGAGACATACGCGAAGGTGACAGGCGCGAGGGCCCAGGATGGATGCACTCTGCTGTCTCTGCACGGCCTCACTCCCCTCTCCTTCCCAGACCCCCGACCCTCCCACTCCAGGCTCCGGGCTGCCCAGCGGGGAGAAGGGGCGCCCTCCTGGAGGGGTGGTTAGCAAGGGAAATCAAGCCAACACCCCCCCCCCCGCCCCACTCCCCGCCCCACTCTTTCTCACTGACTACCGGTCCCAGGGATCGAGATTAACTACGTCCTTTCCCCTAGAGGGAAACTGAGGCAGAGAGGAGTAGGAATGGGTTTTAGTTATAGGTGGAGGGATGATCTTATCCTTTGAAGCCTCCGCCCAAGCTGTCAACCCTGAGGTGAGGAAGGGCAATGAGGCTGGTGCTATCTCCATCCCCTGCTAGTTCCCTGGGATCCGCACCTCCCAAAGCCCAACGCTCAGATGCAGGCGTCCCGCCTCAGGTGGGACACGGCGGGGGCTGGGGATGCAGGGAGAGGGAGGGGGAGTTCTTGGGGGGAGGAGAGGAGGGACAGGCGGCGCGTGGAGCAGGGCGAAGCTCACCTCTCTGCCTGCTGTCTCCGCGGAGCAAGCGGGAACCGGAGCGGGAGCTGAGCAAAAGCAGGTTCGGTTCGCGCCTGCGCCGCAGTCCGGGGCGGGGGTGATGGGGGCTGGAGGAGGAGGGGGGCGCCGGCCCGCCCCAGGGGCCAGCTCTGCAGACAGAGGTCCCCTGTAGCTCCCCCAGCCCCTGCTCCTTCCAGAGTTTCCTTCTCTCTCCCCGAGACCCCAGGCCCTCACGGAAACCCTCCGCCTCCCTGGGCCCCACCGCCTCCTGCAGTCCCTGAAACTCACTCGGTCAATTTCCCACCCCTCCCATTTCAGAGGCATCCCCTCACTGAGTCTTAATCTCCTCACTGTCTCCTCATCCCTTCTCTGGGGCTCCATCCCCCTCATGGAGCCCCCAGGTCAGTACAGAAACCCAGATCTGCTCTCGGAGTCCCCACCCTGATCACAGAGTCCCATCTCACTCTCTCTGCGCCCCCCCCGCCCCCGCTGAGCCCACCTCTCTCAATGGACGCCTACCGGGAAGTCCCCTCCCGCTTGCATCAGGAGCCCCTATCCCTCACTGATCCATCCTCTCTTCCTCTGTGAGGCCCTTCCCTTGTTAGGATCGGTCCAGCTTCACTTGAGAAGGGCGCCGGGGTAGGGGATGAGGCGCTGGAGAAAAGGGACTCACCCTTTCCCCTTTGGAAGGAGCCAATGAGACAGGCTCCCTTTTCTCCCTCCCAACCTATGCCCAGTTCTGCCTTGGGCAGTGTGTGCCAACTGCCCATCTCCCGGTGCCAGGCATCTTGTCTACTTCATGCCTGTCATGTGCTCTCAGCCTTAGTTTTGTCCTACATCTGCTGTGTGGTCTTGGGAAAGTCATTGTGCCTCTCTGAACTTCATCAGGCACCATTGCACAAACATGCCGTCATGCCTTGAGAATTCATTGTGTTTCTCCTGTGCTAGGGGCTGGGGACAGAGGGATGAATGAGCTCTGCAAGATAGGGCCACATCTTTCTTGTTCGCTGTTGTATCTGAGAGCCTCGCATAGAGCTTGGCACTGAGTAGGCAGCTGAATAAGTATTTACTGACCACCAACTAATAGTAGCAGCAAACATAGGATGTTCATTATGTGCAAAGGGCTTATGTGCTTTTTGTGTACCCCTTACTCATTTAACTGTTTGTGGGTGGGGTGGGTGAGAAGTGGGAAGAACTCCTGCAACTCAAACTGAAGGTCCTGAATGGTGACAGGAGATGACGTTGGAGAGGCAGGCAGAAGTGAGGCGCTGCACTGCCTTGAAAGCCAAGGTAAGGAGTTTGGACTTCAGCCCGAGAGTGGTGGGGCAGCCATGGCAGGGTTGTAAGAGGGAAGGGACGTGGTCTGATCTGCACTCTGAAAAGATCCCTCTGGCTGCTGTCAGGAGAACAGAATGGAGGGCACAAGAGTGGCTGCCAGAGACCAGTGAGGATGCTCCAGGTCAGAGATGACAGTGTCTTGGCCTGCTGCAGAGAAATGGATGGATTCAAGAGATGTGAGGGTGTAAAATGAACTACAATAGCAGAAGATTGGAAATAACCTTTGGTGGTGTTAACACATGGCTGCAGATTCTTTATACTCCTCTGTAGAGAGAAGGGATCTTTGTACCTTCTTTGACCTTTGTTTGAACCTTGGGCGAACTGATGACTGCTTCGACCAACAGAGCATGGTGGAAGTGACGCTGTGACTTCCAAGACGAGGACATAAAAGGATGTGCAACTTCTGCTGGCATTCAAGCTCTGGGAGCCCTGAGGCATCATGCAGGAAGTCTGTCTACCTGGAGGCTGCCCCGCTGCAAGGAAGCCAAGACCACGTGGAGAGGCCAGCTGAAGGCACCACAGCCCCAGCTGAGCTTAGCCTTTGAGTCATCCCAGTTCAGGCATCAGACAAGTGAGTGAAGAAGCAAACAGATGATTCCAGTCTCCAGCCATTCGATTCAGCTTCAGCCTTCAAGGCTTCAGGTCTTTAAGTCTTCCACGCTGAAGATTCAAACATTGTAGAGCAGAGACAAGCTGGCCCCTCTACGCCCTGCCTGAATCCCTGACACACAGAATCCACAAGCGTAATAAAATGGTTGTCATGTTATACCACTAGGTTTGGGGGACTTTGTTATGTGCTAACAGATAAGTGGAACACAACTTAAATATCCATCAATAGAAGACAAGTTACACAAATTATAGGATATCTATCCTGAGAATACCATGCAGCTATCAAAAGAAGAAATTGTTACTGATATGAAACAAATTTCAAGCTCAGTGAAGAAAAATGCAATGTTCTGAAAATTCTTCCATTTTCAATTCTCAAAAAGGAGGCACATACAGAGATATTAAAACTTTTGAGAGGACAGATAAGAAAGTTACAGTAGATGCCTGGGGGTAGGGTGGCTGGGGGCAAGGGCGGGAAGGAAATTCACTTCTCAGTACACCTCTGGATTGGTTATCTGTTGCTTTTGTAATAAGTTGAGCAAGAGATAATGAAGGATTGGAGTCAGCAGGAGAGATGGAAAGGAGGTTGCAGGTCTGAACAACATCCACAAATTAAAGTTTGTAAGACTTGGTGACTGAGAATTGCGGGCAGTGTGAGATAGGAGGAGAGAAAATAGAGGATGACTGTTAAGTTTTCAGGTCAGGTGGGTAATGCTTCCACCAACAGAGTGGAAAATATAAGAAGAGGAGAAGTTGATACCCTTAGCTTTTGGCAGAGCCAAATGGCGCTGTCCAGGAGGTCTGGAGTCAGGGGCAAGGTCTTGGCCTTAGAAACAGTATAGGGAATTGTACCAGTTGCAGATGACAAAACTAAACTTGAACTTGCTTAAATAAAGGAAATGGAAAAACTCAGATAATTGAGAAGTCAAGGGACACTGGCTTCAGGAATGGCTGGATCCAGATGCTAGAAATCTCTCTCTTTATCTCGTGGTTTGGTTCTGCTCTGCTCTCCTCTGTGTCAGGCAGACTCTCCCTGTGGTGGCAAAATGCCCAAATCCTTCAAATTTAACTTTTGGAATAAGAATCTTTCTTTCCCTATAGTTCCAGAAAAATCCCTGATGTTGATTCTCCTTGCCCCCAGTTGGGTAAAACCTCATTTACTGAACCCACCAGCATGCCTCTGACTGGCTTGGTTCCTTGGTCACCCTTTGGGAGGCTTGGAGTGGTTGCCTGAGGACACTTAGTCAAGATGTGGCAAATCTGAATTTGCTCTGATAACTCTGAGGCCATGATCTGTAGCAACAACTGTCTACATGGATGTGACTTTCTTTGGTAGTGTCAGGAGCGAGAATGAAGGAGAAAGCCACTGGCACCCCAGCTCGTAGGTTGGAGTTCCCCTGGACAAGTCAGGCAGAAAGAGGAGGTGGGGGGGCATGCAGGAAAAAGGGAAGAGAGCAGATCCCATGATGAACCTCAGGGTGGATCCTGGCTCAAGGGGAGGTGCCAAGGCAGCCCTGGAGGGGAGCAGCTGGCTGTGGAGATGTAGGGATTCCAGCCTGAGAAGCTCAGTGAAGTCCAAAAATGGATAGGAAGGAAGGGAGTCCAAGGTCAGAGTGTGGGACCTTGGAGTGAAGCATTTCACATGTGGAACCTTGTAGGACAGTTGGCACCGTCCAGTAGAACTTTCTGGAAAGATAGACATGTTCTACATCTGTGCTGCCAATACAGGAGCTGCTGGCCACAGCTGGCTATTAAGCGTTCAAAATGTGGCTGGTGTGACCGAGGAACTGAATGTTAAATTTTATTTAATTCTAATTACTTTAAATTTGAGTTTAAATAGTCACATGCCTCTGGTGGCCACTATGTTGGACAGTCAAGCATCAGTTGAACAACCCTTATTCCCAGGGACCAACTTTGGGCGTGACCACTGCCATCTCAGAAGTCTACCAGCTACCCCATCACCGAGCCCTTGTGCCCTGCCCCTAGGGCCTCTTCTCTACACTGCAGCCACAATGAACTTGAAAGTGTAAGTCAGGAAGAATTCGTGTTTGCTGGGTAGAGTTTCAGTGTCACAAGATGAAAAAGTTCTAGAGCCTTATTGCACAACTGTGTGAATATACTTTACACTACTGGACCATACACTTAAAATGGTTGAGATGGTAATTTAATGTGTTTTTCACCACACACACAACATATAAGGGTAAGTCTGATTCTCTCATTCCTTTGCTCAAAACCCTCTAATGACTTCTCATCCTACTCAGGGTAAAAGAAAAGACTGTGGTGGGTGGCTCACACCTGTAATCCTAGCACTCTGGGAGACTGAGGTGGGAGAACCACTTGAGCTCAGGAGTTCATAACCAGCCTGAGCAAGAGTGAGACCCCATCTTAACTAAAAAAAAAAAAAAAAGTAGCTGGGCAACCAAAAATAGAAAATTATCCAGGTGTGGTGGCACATGCCTGTAGTCCCAGCTACTCAGGAGGCTGAGGCAGAAGGATCGCTTGAGCCCAGGAGTTTGAGGTTGCTGTGAGCTAGGCTGATGCCATGGCACTCTAGCCCCAGCAATGGAGTGAGACTCTGCACAAAAAGAAATAAGAAGAAAAAGAAAGAAAAGAAAGAAAGAAAGAAAGAAAGAAGAAAGAAAGGAAAGAAAGAAAGAAGAAAGAAAGAAAGAAGAAGGAAGGAAGGAAAGGAAGGAAGGAAGGAAGGAAGGAAGGAAGGAAGGAAGGAAGGAAGGAAGGAAGGAAAGAACTATCATGGATTAAAGATGCTCATAAATTCTTTGTCACTCTGCCCTTCAAGAAGTGGTGTTTATGCTTTCCCCTTGAATCTGGGTTGGCCCAATGACAGCTTTAACCAATAGAACATGGTAGAAGTACTGCTGAGCCAGGCTGGACCTGGCTTTCAACAGGATAATTTTTCTCTTCCTGTCTCTTGGAACACTGACTTGTGAGATGCTCCCTCGTGGACCCCAGTACCCATGCCAAAGTAGCCCAAGCCACGTGGAGGCCACACCTAGGTGCTAGTTGACAGCGCCAGCTGCACTTCCAGCCCATAGCTAGCACCCATTGCTGTATGGGACAGCGTCATGAGAGTGAGTTGTCTTGGCTATTCTGAGACACTTGAGTCCTCAGATGACATCATGATGATGAGCACAAGAACCACCCTGCTGAATCCTGAAAACCCACAGCATCTTGACAGATAATAAAATGGCTTCGTTTTAAGCTACCGAGGCGTGAGATGGTTTGTTTTGCAGCAACAGATATCGCAAAGCAGTCCTTACTGGGTTTATAAGTCCTTAGATGAGCTACTGCCCCTCTCCAAACCCGACTTACCTCTTCCAAGTCACCTTCTTCTATTCCCTCAGTCCAGCCACACTGGCCTCCTTGCTGTTCCTTGAATGAACCAATCACGTCAGGCAAACTCTGACCTCAAGGCTTCAGGGTCTTTGCATTTGCCTGTTTGGGCTTTTATTGCTTTTTCTCTTGAAACCCACATAGCTAGCTTCTTGCCTTATTCAGCTCTCTGCTCAAACATCATCTTATCAAAAAGGGTTTATTCAATAGTGTGGTAGGGACACAGACTGGTCACCAAATTTCCATATGCTTCATGTCTACATCCCAGTCCCCCTGGAGCTTGGCAAAGCCATGTGATTCACTCTGGCCAATGAGCTATGAGCAGAGAGATACACGTCACTTCTGGGCCCAAAGCATTTGTTTCAGTTGCTTTTGCTGTGTAACAAACCACCCTAAAACTTAGTGACTCAAAACTACCACAATCATTATTTTGCTTACAAATCTGCAATTTGGGTAGGCCTCAGTGGTAACTTCGCTTGGCAATAGCTAGGTGGTTCAACAGAAGACTGGAAAGACCTGCTCCCAAGATGGCTTGCTCATGTGGCTGGCAGATTGGGGATCGCTGTTATCTGGGGGCTCAGCTGGGGCCGAGGGCAAGGGGGCTCAGTTCTTCTCTGTGTGGGACTCTCCCTAGTTTCTTCAGCCTCCTCACAGCCTGGTGGCCGGATGCCAAGAATGAGCATCCCAAGAAAGAGGAGGTGAACACTGTTAAGTTTCTAAGGCCAGAGTCTAGAAGCTGGTACAGTGTAGTATCACTGCCACTCCATTCTATTGGTCACAGAGGCCACATTCAAGGCGAGGAGACCTGCTCCCTAACTCCCAGTAGGAGAAATATCAAATAATCTGGGGCCATGTTTTAAAACTGCTACAACATTTGAAAGCTGGTGCATGACCCTCAGGTCATTTTGCCTCCTGCCGTAACAGTTGTGAAGGCTACACATTGACATGGGGGACCAGAAAAATGGAAGCAGGCCGAATTGCTGAGTCATCCAGTAGAGGACAGCCGCTCTGCAGAGTCACAATAACAGAATATGTTTAGGCAAGAAATAAGCCTTTGTTGTGTTAATCCACTGATATTTCAGAGTTCATCTGTTAATATGTCATAACCCAGCCTATCCTGACTGATAAAGAAATTGGTACCAGAAGTGGGGTACTTAAGTAACCAAAACCAAACTGTGCAGCAGTGACCCGGAAAGCTGGTGATCTTTGTTATGCAAAAGCAAAACATTTGGTAAAACTGTTATTGCAAGGCCGGCCCGGTGGCTCACGCCTGTAATCCTAGCTCTTTGGGAGGCTGAGGCGGGCGGATTGTTTGAGCTCAGGAGTTTGAAACCAACCTGAGCAAGAGCGAGACCTCGTCTCTACCATAAATAGAAAGATATTAATTGACCAACTAATATATATAGAAAAAATTAGCCGGGCATGGTGGCACATGCCTGTAGTCCCAGCTACTTGGAAGGCTGAGGCAGAAGGATCGCATGAGCCCAGGAGTTTGAGGTTGCTGTGAGCTAGGCTGATGCCATGGGACTCACTCTAGCCTGGGCAACAAAGTGAGACTGTCTCAAAAAAAACAAACAAACAAACAAACAAAAAAAAACTGTTATTGCAGTAACTTGGAAAACAGACTTTATGGGCACCTTTGGCTGCATTTGTCAAAATATTCAAGAGAAAGAAAAGCTCAAGAACAGAACTGGCTGGTCTGTCAGCAAAAATAAACGGGAAGTGAGTTTGGAAATTTAGGTCCTTGAAAAATTGGATAAGTCTAAGGCTTCCAGATTCAAATAGAGATGAACTGTAAAAAGATGCTGACAGCCAGGTGCAGTGGATCATGCCTGTAATCCTAGCACTCTGGGACGCCGAGGCAGGTGGATTGCTCAAGGTCAGGAGTTTGAAACCAGCCTGAGCAAGAGCGAGACCCTGTCTCTACTAAAAATAGAAAGAAATTAATTGGACAACTAAAAATATATAGGCCAAACGTGGTGGCTCACGGCTGTAATCCTAGCACTCTGGGAGGCTGAGGCAGGTGGATTACTCAAGGTCAGGAGTTCGAAACCAGCCTGAGCAAGAGGCGAGACCCCATCTCTACTATAAATAGAAAGAAATTAATTGGCCAACTAATATATACAGGAAAAATTAGCTGGGCATGGTGGCACATGCCTGTAGCCCCAGCTACTCGGGAGGCTGAGGCAGGAGGATTGCTTGAGCCTGGGCATTTGAGGTTGCTGTGAGCTAGGCTGATGTCATGGCACTCTAGCTCGGAACAGAGTGAGACTCTGTCTCAAAAAAAAAAGATGCTGAGTATAGTAAAATCTATCCATTCTTCAAAATGCTTCGGGGACAAAGATTAAGGGTGTACCCTTCATGTCAATTTTTAAAATTTCCCCTCTATCAATTAGAGTACCTCAAAGCTAAAATCAATTAACATAAGAGATTGGATTTTATTTTATTTTATTTTTTGAGACAGAGTCTCGCTTTGTTGCCCAGGCTAGAGTGAGTGCCGTGGCATCAGCCTAGCTCACAGCAACCTCAAACTCCTGGGCTCAAGCAATCCTACTGCCTCAGCCTCCCAAGTAGCTGGGACTACAGGCACACGCCACCATGGCCAGCTAATTTTTTTTGTATATGTATTTTAGTTGGTCAATTAATTTCTTTCTATTTTTAGTAGAGACAGAGTCTGGCTCAGGCTGGTTTTGAACTCCTGACCTTGAGCAATCCGCCCGCCTAGGCCTCCCAGAGTGCTAGGATTACAGGGATGAGCCACCACGTCCGGCCCTGGATTTTAAAAGGCTTTGAATGAAACCCTGTAAAACTTCTGAGGGCCAAAATCATATTAGAGGCGTGGTTCTGCCACCTGTTATTCTTGACAACTGCTATTAAACTGATAGCAAGAGCTTTGGGGTAAGAAAACAAAGAAAAAAAGCAGCCCTAAGCACAATTTATTGAAAAGTATTGTGGGTGTGGTTTTAGTATCTGGAACTGACCAGAGTCAAATGGAAAAGAAACCGAAGTTTTTGATAGAACTGTACTGCCAAAGAAATCAGAAGCCTAGGCTAAAAATCCTGTGATTAGGTCTTAAAATGATCTTAGTTGCCTCACACCCATTAGGATGGCTACTATAAAAAAAAAAAAAAAAAATCAGAAAATAACAAGTGTTGGTGAAGATGTGGAAAAATGGGAACCCTTGTGAATTGTTGGTGAGAGTGTAAAATGGTACAGATGCTATGAAAAACAGCATGGGGATTCCTTGAAAAATTAAAAATACAATTACCACATGATCCAGCAATTTTACTTCTGGGTATATATCCACAAAAGTTGGAAGCAGTGTATCTCGAAGGCATGGTTGCACACCCATTCTCATAGCAACATTATTCCCAACAGGCAAAAGGTCGAAGCAATCCAAGTGTTCACTGATGGATGAATGCATGAACAAAAGGTGGTGTGTACATACAATGGAGTGATACTCAGCCTTAAAAAACAAGGACATTCTGATGCATGCTACAACATGGATGATCCCTGAGGACGTTATGCCAAGTGAAATAAGCCATTCACAAAAAAGACAAATACTGTGTGATTCCACTTGCCTGAGACATCTAGAGTAGTCAAATTCACAGAGACAAAAAGGAGACTGGTGGTTGCTAGGAGGACGGGGAAACGAGGGGTCCAGAGTTTTGGTTTTGCATTATGAAGAGTTCTTGAGATGGGGGTGCTGGTGGTTGCATAATATTGTGACTGTGCTTCATGCTGGACACGTAAAGATGATTAAGATGGAACATTTTTGTTACATGTATTTTATCACAATTTTTAAAAAAATTATTACACTTAAAAAAAAAAAAGATCAGTCCCTAAAAGTTTACAGGCAGGGAGTAGACTGAAAAATGTGTGATGTGTGTACCTGTCAAGGAGCAAGAGGCACTTCTGGTTCTTGTTTCCTTCTGGTAGATTCCTCGCTCTTTTCTGCTGGCAGA